CCCCCCCCCCCCCCATCGCTTTTCTAATGGTCCGTCCCTTAGTGTCTGATGAAAAACAGCAGCAGTGTGAAAGTTTCAACTGAAGGCCGTAGCTTCGTAATTGGGAAGTTAGTTGCTAAATGGGCCTGCTTTTTTCAGGTAAGTTGCATCTTTCTCTGAGTCTGTCAACGCTGTACCCTGGATTCCAGAGCCTTCGACAGTAAATAATAAATTGAAATGTCGCGAAGGCTCTGGTTCAATGGGGCGATTCTTTGATTAAACCGCACCAATCACAAAACAGAATTAGTGGTTTTAGTATCCACTTTAGTATTTTGGAATCCAGGGTATCAACGCTGAAGAGTCTGCCAACACTGCCGAATTAGTCATAGGTTTTCCCCCAGGCACTCCAGTTTCCTCCCACAGGGCAAGTTGGCAGGGTGGGAAATTGTTGTAAAGATAAATAGTTTAAGCTAAGTAAGTAACATAAGTATAAGCATAATTATACTTGATGTAATCAGTCACAGATTAATAATGTATTGTAATGTTATCTCTCACTGCAGCTGTTTGTTATCGTTGCTACTGACACTGGCCCAACCATTCAAGATTATAAAACACATGAAGTATTTTTATTCATTTCAGGTAATTCAGACACAAATTACTTGTGTGTACCTCTAATTTGTCAGCTTTGTTTCCCAGGAGTAAAACAGGGATGGATGAAGCCATAATAGCATCTCTACTCTCATTTGCTGTGTTGTGTGCTACAGTAAACTGGGCATGATTCAGAACATCCTGTTTCCATGTGGGAGCTAAACCAATTGTATCTGGTTCTGAAACATCCACCACAACTATTTAAAAGAAATAAGGAAGACCTGTTATTGAATGGATATGGAGAAAGATGGAAAAGATCAAGTGGACTGATAGAATGACAAATGTAGAGGTCCTCACCAGCCAGGGTTCACAATGGGTCGTTACGAGATGTGATGTGATGGAAGGCAAAATGGAAGGAAAAAGACGAAGGGGAAGAAAGAGAATGATGATGCCGGATGAGATCAAGGATGGGAAGTCATATTGTGAAACAAAGTGCCAGGCCAAAGATCAAATAATATTCAGGCATTACCCACCGGGCACACGACGTTGTTTCAATGTTGAAATTTGGTAGAAAAAAGGTTGCGACGTCGACAACCTAATATCTACGTTGCTCTGACGTTGTTTTACAAACATTGGTTCAACAGCAGCCAACAGACGTTGAATTAACGTTCATTCATGGTTAAATGTACGACGTCGATTTGTGAACCAATCTCAACGTTGTTTTAACGTGGATTCAACGTTGAATTATGGTTGACGAAATTGGCAACCTAATTTCAACGTTGTTTCAACGTCGAAACAGTAACGTCGATCCAATTTGCATAGTCAAACCTTTTTCAACGTCTATCCAACGTCTGGAAGGTCATTTCCAACGTTGATTCAACGTTGGATAAACGTCATTTTGCCCGCTGGGTAGTGGCTTAATAATTCAAATAATATTAATTAGTAATTGCTAACCAATTGCAGCATCCACATCTTTGTAATAACTCTTTCGAAGATCCATCTCTTCTCGTCCTGGCACATCCCATATTACCACAGATACTACTCCTTGGTAAGGAATATTGATCTTCTTAACAACATTGCCAATAGCAACAGATACGCTTGGTTGATAACTGTAGTCAAACTGGTTTTTCGTATAACGTAAGAATATACTGCTTTTGCCAACTGCTGGTTCACCTATAAAATAATGGCCATACTATTATAGACAGTGAGAAAATGTAAGTATAATATGGCATTAAGGTATAAATGATTGACACTAGTTTGGTTAATGCATGTGTTTTTTAACATCGAAAGCTTCCTCAGGCTCAGGGTTGCCTTCCTGCAATATGCTGTTGCATCATTATGTGTGGAAAGTACTTTGAATTTGACTCTATCAAACACCAAAGCTTTTTGCTGGTTACTTAAGTTTCAATGCCCTGTTTGTGTAAATTCCACCAGGTGACAACGGACCATGGCAACAACTATGTCCGAATTGTGATAGCAACATGACTAACACAAATGACGAAATTCAGAGACATGGCGATGTTTTCAAGTGGTGATAATACTGGTTTTGAAAATCAGACGACCTGCAACATAGTAGCTAACACAGCACAAATAAGGGATGACCTTAATTTAATACTGGCCAACCCCCCAACTTAGCCTTTTGTTGAGATTTGAGAACAGTATTATAGAACTGATAGAGTCATCTAGTGTGCCTAGTATAATGATATTTACATTGACGAAGGACATAAACAGCAATTATAATTTATAAACAAAAAACAATTTATGAAACATAACAAATCAACAACCGAGCATATTAATTGATACATACCAACAAGTACAATCTTAAATTTTGGGACTTCTTGTTCGAAATTCTGCTTCCCTAAAGATAATACAAATAAATATTCCACAATAAGATGCATTTACACGAGTAAGAGTTAAGTAATTTACAAAAACAAACCTTGTTTTGACAAAATTGTTCCCATTTTGGCTTTGTAACGTTCACATATTCGTCTTTGCCAGATCTTGCGTCTTGACAACCGTGGTATGCTATACGAATTTAATACCCGGGTGTCTGGGCACCATACCGGGTGTCTGCCCCTGTTTTGCATAACATGCGTGAATGAAATTAATAGAACTAGAAGTTACTATCGCAAGTGAAGTGCTGCCTTAAGAAAACAATTTTTCTTGAATCGGGCAAATAAACTGGACATATGTCTCGGAGAAAATTAGAACTCCTACAAGTGGACAATAGGTACGCATAGGCCAGACTAACATTCCATTGAGTTAGGGAGGTGGAGAAATATCAGCATTGTACCGTCTCTTTCATATAACTTGCAACAGAGTGACTCTGTTGCAAGTTATATGATAGAGACTTGATCAAAATGGATGCAAAAGTAAATAGGATGGAAAATAAACTGTAGGTAGATTGTTGTGAGTTTAGGTTTTCTCTTTCTAACAGAGAAGTAATAGAATGAAATAGGAATTCCACTTTTTGAAAAATAAATTATGAAACCATTTCCGAAGGCTGCAAATTCAAATCTGCAAATATTTGATAATCAATCATTTACTTCTTAACTGTTGGCTATCAATCAATCACCCATTTTAAGACTTTTAATAACGTAACCAAGTTTTTCATATCACAAATTGGTTACATGTTGTGTAATTTAATTTAGCCCTCACATCTGCCGAGTTTATTAAAATACGAATTTTTTATTAATTTTACAATAACACGTACTAAAAAAATTATATTTTCAATATGCCATATTTTAATCATTTTCAGTCTATAAACATGCAAGCCACAAGTCTACATTACGAAAACAGGTCGTTGTAAAATTTAAGATGAATAACTCAACTGATTTAAGAATTTTTGACTGGCCAACAACCGCAGTTCCTTTGACCTCAGCAATAAGCTCATGTGGTATCATCCTGAACTTTCTTCTGATCATGGCATTCCTCAAGGATCCTTTAAAAGTCCTAAAAAGTCCGTCTGCAGTATTGATACTAAATATCGCCGTGATAGACTTTCTTGCATCATGTCTGTTCCTGCTTGCGGCATCGTTCCGTTCCTCTATATTCTGCTATTTCACTTGGAAGACAATTTTCAGTTTTGACGGCGTGACTAATTTCTTATCGGCGTTTTTCACGACTATATCATTTGCGTCATATATGTGTCTATCGATCGAAAGATTCTGTTCAATCTCTCTACCATTATGGCATCGTGTCCACATCACTATTCGACTGTGTCGTTACTGGATTATTGGAATATGGATCTTACATTTTGTACTGTTGGAAGGCATAATCATTAACATGCAAACTTTCTTTCATGGAGTTTTAGCTAAAATTTCTTTGGCGCGACTAATTTTTACTTGGACAATGTTCATTTGTACTCTAACTTTTTATCTAGCATCCTATATTTCTATCCGAAGACAAAGACGACATCTGCAAAGCAGAGAAGACACAAATGATGTAAGCATGAAAGTATTAAAGATTCGGCTTAAAAACGAACAGAACTTTCTTGTGACAATAACAATTGTTTGTTTTTTCTTATTTCTATCATTTCTACCGTTTGCCACTATGATATTCGTCTACGTTCCTGCTTTAGACAACCCTCATGGCGCTGATCAGAACGATTTTCCGAACGTTGTGTGGGGGATTTTTGCAGTAACCGTAAATTTTGCAATCAACCCACTTGTATATCTGTGTCGCTTACCCAAGTACAGAAAAACGTTTCAAAATTTGTATTGTAAACTGTAATTTATTATATGAATGTCAATAAATTTTAATTAAAATACTGGTACTGTGTAATTTATTGTAAGTATAAATAGGTTTTAATTAAAATACTGGCATGCATGCAGACTTTTGTATATAGTCTTTAATTATTTTTTATTTAATTTTAGTTAACTAGACAACTTCAACAAACATCACTTTATTAATGTTATCGGGCAAGAGGCTTGACGTTTTAGGACAATTGTAAAGTAACAGTACTAAATGGAGCTGGGGGGGGGGTTCATCTACAATGTAAGCTAGTAGATGTTTGCCGTTGTGCAATTTCGGTCATCTTACTTTTTAACATGTTGCTGACAAGGCTATGTTATACGAGGCAATTCTTGATGCAAGTTGCAATTTGCAACGCAATTTCTGACGTCATGCAGAATCTGTTCACCGTCTCATGTATCATACCGCAAAGGCATGAAATAAATGAATGAGAATGTAATACAGCCCATGCTCAATGACCGTTACTCTTAAATATACTTTTTCATTTAACGGGACTTATACTTAACTTAGGGACGGACCATTAGAAAAGTGATGGGGGGGGGGATTTTCTAAGAGGCAATATATATATTTTGTGTACACCTATAAAAGAAATATATTTTTTTCTCACTTGACGCTGGAAATTTTTAAGTGAAATTTAAAGTCTTATCTTCCAAGGTAGGAATCTTTTTTTTTGCACTATGCCTGGGAAGATTTTTTCCCCTAATTTTTTTCTGGGAATAAATTTTTTTTTGGTTTTGCCCCCCCCCCCATATCACCTTTCTAATGGTCCGTCCCTTATACTTTTTCACTTAGCCCGACGATTTAGTCCCGCTATGCAAATATTTTCGTGTTCATTGACTGTAAAAACAATCAATTTCTAAAGAAATGAATAATGATAAAAATTATTAACGGGACTAAATTGTCGGACTGGCTAGTGTTTTCCATGCACTGCATCGCTCTATGTTTGAAATTGCGTCGCATGCAAGTTGTAAAAAAAAACTGCCTCGTGTAACATGGTCTAAAATGCCAGGGCTGCGTGGCGATATATAGCCTATAATTCATCTTTTTGTCTTCCAGGCTTACGGATAGAAAGCTTTGCCAAATGAATATACGTTGTGTTCTCCACAAAAAAATAACTTGCTATCCTTGACATCTAAAAAGTGTTTTCAATGTCTTCCTATAATTTTTTAAACGCCACAAATATATTAGTGGGTTGACTGTAAAATTAACCCTGAGCAGCGATATTATAATTTTCCCAGTGAAATGTAAATCCATGATTTCTGGCCAAATAAGGTATATGACCTTATAGTATATTATTGCAGGCAACACTGTCAGCGCTAGGATCAAGCAAACTATTGTTATTGTATTTAAAAATTGTTTCTCGTTCAATAGTCGAAGTTGGATAGCTCTAGTGGCTGCTGGGTTATTCCGAGTGGAAGAATTTTTTATCTCGCCATTATCTTGTCTTGCAATAATTTGGTGGTTTTGTTTCTTAAGAGATAAGCAACTTGCGAGGTAAAATGCTTGGGTTGAAATAAAGAAGAACAATACATAAACCACACGTATGCAACCCATTGTGAATTCACCATCTGCAGTGTATTCTACGACGACTACATTTACCGCTTCAAATGCGCTGTGAAAGAGCCAAATTCCGAGCACGCACATACGACATGAACGGAGAGTTACGTTCGCTCGATGCCACAGCGGGAAGGCAACAGAACAAAAGCGTTCAACAGAAAGAACGAAGAATGATGGGAAAGACAACGACATTGGAAAAAATATTCCACTTCGCTTTGTACGTTGAAATGTTTTATCAGCAACAAATGTGTAAATCGCAGTTAATATGGCAGCGATAAGATCCACCACAGCGATATTCAGAATAAATTGGGAAGATGAGGTTTGAAAAAGTTTCAATGGATCTTTAAGATGAGCAACGATGACAAAAACGTTCCCGGTGATGGCGAATATGACAAGAATACATTTAATAATATCCATCGAGACTGAAAATTCGACATTTATCTGTTCGTCCGTTGAATTCGCTTGATTCATCTTTCAAATGAGGAGTTTGTCAAGTCAAAACCGTAAAAATAAATTACCATTCCAGTTGACTGTTTTCTCAAAACACTCAGCAAAATGAAGGTAAACTCAGAGGTGTGATGGTAATATTTTGAACGACCGTGTTTCCGTGCTCGAGAACACGCTTGCGGCAAATTGAAAACGACTGCCTTGTCGGACAAGTTAACAAAATCTTGTAAATCTTTCAACTTAATCGGAGGTAGAATACGTCTTCTTTATCAACTCGTCTGAAAAACCACCAATCAATACATTTCTTTGGAAGGAACTTACTTTGGAGTCATGCATGGAAAAACTTTGGAATTAAGGAAAAACGTTTAGAAGCATTCCACGTAATGTCTCTTCAGCTTTGAAGTTTCAATATCATTGCACAGCATGATCACTTATTTTTAATAAAGATGTTTTGCAGCTGTCGTTGAGTTATTGAACTTAAATTTCTACCAAATTATCAGTTTAATACAATTTAATATCAATGTTTATTATTTTGTGGCATTTGATGGATGTTTTCATATAAATAGCGCGACACCATTTCATTTTTCATGTGTAATAATTTAATCATTTTATATGCAGCCCGTTTCTATCACAATTATAGAATACCATATTTCATTTCTGTTTTTACTTTGTTAAAATCATTACACAATGTATAAAATTCAGTCTAAACATGCAAGTACACACTCACTTGAGTAAAAAATTCCGTCTCTTTGAGCGGTTAATTTAAGTGGGAAAAACTACACTGTAATTAAAATGCAAATTTCACAAGTTAAAACTGAAATATAGCATGGTAAATGAAGTCAATATTACTTCAAACATTTACAGTAAAGTTTCTTAAACGTTTTCTTGTACTTTGGTAGTCTCCAGAGATAAAAGAAAGGGTTTACCATAGCATTAATCATAATTAAACAAGGCATACTCCAGTCGAGCCACATCCAAACATCGTCACTAGTCTCTGGAAGCAGGGGGCGAAACGAAAAAAGAGTCGCAACTACTAAATATGGACAAAACGATAGCATTAGAATGAAGCATAGAATTGCAATTGTCACGAAAAAGCGTTTCTCATTCTCCTGTCGGCTTTTCAATGCTCTTAAAGTCGCTTCGTTGACATCGCGTCGTTCTCGGAGCGCTTTACCCTGCCTTCTGAGTGATATGAACGTGGCTGCATTCAGAAATTCGTATCCGACGAAAAACGAACATAAATAGGAAACTGTGAATACATTTTCATATGAGTCCGATAGGAGAAATCTGATTGTAAGTTCGGTAAAAGTCAAATGGAAGATCCAGGTTGCAATGATCCAGTAACGACATACTTTGTGTGTTACTTTCGTACGGTGCCAGAGAGGACGAGAAATTGAAAAATAAAGTTCCAAAGCCAAGCTAAAATACGCTATGGCTGTCATGGTTGCGATTCTCACTGTAACAGTCAAATATTCCACAGAATAACTCACGGGAAGCGCTGTCTCTGCCACAGTGATAGCGGTTGAAATGAGCCATAATAAAGATATCGTACAATCAATAATTGTCACGTTAAGCACAAACATGGAGGATGTATTTTGAAACACCCGAAGCGGATCAGTAACGTGCGCGATGATTGTTAAAAAGTTAGCCACAAAACCAACAATAAGAAATGGCAATTTTATAGCATTAAAATACGTATCCATTTTATGTCATTGATGTGTTGGAATATAGCGTTACGGATGCTTGTAGATTAAAACAACTTTTTAATTACTTTAAGTTTAGATGATTGCTTGGATTCATTACGATAAGGGCAGCTACATCATGATTGGAGGAAGGGATATGATTGACGCGTCACATGACCAAAGCGGTGGCGCATTCATATCTCACACGAGTGTAGGTAATGTTTTGCAAGTAAATACGAAAAATCTCATCTCGAAACATCGTCAAATGCTTTTAGTGATATTTCAAATCCCAGTACTATGAGGACTGGATTTCAAGTTCGCGCAATCTTGAAATCTAGTCCAGTCCGAATAGACAATCGATTCCCCTTACTACGTTTTCGTAGCGCTTTGCATTGTGGTTATGTGGTATCACTCGCATTCAAGATGGCTTATCTTTTGTCCTGACCCGTGCAAGAACGTTTAAAAAAAAGCTAGGGTCAGGTGCGTGATAGCCAACAGCAAAATATTCGCGAAAACATTCAATATTTTCATTCGAGGCCGCTATCTTTATCAGTCATACCACTCTAACCACAATGCAAAGCGCTACGAAAACGTAATAAGGGGAATCGTGTATTGGATGATTTAAAATGACATCTTATATACGAATAAATCACTACTCAAAGTCAGGTGAATTAATTTTGATCGATCCAATTCAAGGACTGGGGAATTAATTTTGATCGATCCAATCCAAGGACTGAATTAATTTTGATCCTAGGACTGGATCAATATACTTCACCACGTATCCAGTATTATCATGTAAGCAAAATAATCTATGGTTGGCTAATTTACTCATGAATTATTAACGAGTTTGAGATATCTAAACCGAGAGTTAATCGAGCTTTAACGCCCAATTCCACTCAGGAAAATTTTCTACAGAAAGAAAATTTTGCAAAATGTGATTGGTCGACACAAATTTTCCGTTGGAAAAAATTTTGAAGTTGAAAATTTTCATCTTTTAACAATGATATTTTCGAAAAAAATTCTGTCCGTGGAAATTATTCTTGAGTGGAATGCGACTGTGCTTTAAGCAACAGGCTCCTGAAGACAACAAGCACATCAGGCATTAAAATAGCGTGTCCTTCTACACACTTTGTGTCCTTGTAAAAGGCGAATGTGCCCTTGTAAATTGAAAAGTGTGTACTTGAAAATATATTAAACTGAAAATATATTAATGTAATCCCCGCAAAATGGCCAAAGATTTTGCAAATTCTGTTCTCAGAACTCTGGAAATGCCATTTCAGAGACCCCCTTAAAAGTTCGCGTCTTTGACGCTAAACTTGTGGCTTCGGCACTCGTTCTCGTGAGTCGGCGCATTTATACAAAAAGTACGCCTCTGGAGGCAAAGTGTGTCCTTGTAAAAATTCCGTATTTTAATGCCTGAAGCACATCTTCTATCCCAAACCTCCTTGGAAGGCCAAATTGCTTGTGTTCACGTCACAAACAGTTTACCGACAAGAGTGTTGACAGAAGCCATCCATGGTGACTCTCTTCCACAGTATCCTGTGCTCCGGCTCAATACCTAAACACCGGTTGGTGGTTAATTAATCAATCCAAAGTAGCTTATAATATCTCATATTTCCCTTGTTTCTCATTTAGTCAACAGCTGCGACGTGTGAACTCATTTACATGTACACCCAGGACACGGAAAGTTTAAAGTAATGTGAAAGTACTTCATTTTCATTAAAGACTAAAGGTTAAACAGTTTCATTAAAGACTAAAGGTTAAAAACGATGGAAGACGACGACAAATGGTTGTTAGCGATCGATTTATTTGATGAACCCAAGGTAAACCCGCTTGATGTCTTGCCAGAATGTAGCTAGATAAACACCAATCCTAATATTTATTTGTCTTATCCAAAACCTAAATTCTCTACGAAGCCAAAGGTCGCGTACAGAACTTTGCTGATAAATGTTCGTTCCTTAATTCTCAGCAGTTTACGAGTTTTTAACATTTCTCAGCGTCACTATATACACGGGAAGGACAAAGCTAACTAGCAACATTCCACATAAAATATGCAAGGTATTTCGGCTTGACGTAGGATGGAAGTTCAAACTAGTATTATACAATTCCGCTTTGATATACTGGAGCATTGATATCTTGGCATCGCAGTTAATCGAGCTTTATGAGGATTTGGATGCCAAAAATAGACCCTTTGAATCCATAGCTTCGCTTTGTCTTTGCACATTCTTGCTAACACATATGCGGCGCAAAATATGCGCATTATTTGATCATTATTAACCTTTTCACAAATTGTACGAACCTAGATAGATTGTACAGTACACACAAAGAGTTGTATAAACGGTGGTTTGGTGTGAATGATTTAAAAATTACTAAAAAGATTAAAACTGTTCCCAGGGTAATTAAGATCGTGACCCTTGCCCCACAACAAGTGCGTTAATCAAATTTTGGCCACCTAATAAGATTATATTTACATTATAAATGATTAAACTTCAATATCTTCAATGCAACAAAATTGCTGCAACTTGCAACAAAATCTGATCTCTATACGCATGTTAATTGAAAATGTTTACACATAAATTACAAATCACGAGGCAACATATGTCAACATTTCTACTTAACATGCGTTGAGATCAGATTTTATTGCAAGTTGCAGCAATTTTGTCGCTCGTATTACTCCAGCTTTAAGATATAGTAATAAATTCTCTTGGAAAAGAACGGTTTCATTTGCAATGGTAGTGAATGGTTTTGAACGCGATATTTATTCTAATAGGCTGAAGCATCTTCTGTGGAAAAACAAGTTCCCTGCAAGTTTTCCGTCTTCGGTTGCCAGTTTAAGGTAAACTACGGCCAAACTCTCTGCGACATTGGTTTACTAGCTAGTCCAATACTCTTCCAACTGAGCTCGGATTTCGGAACTCAGTCTAGTTCCTTCGATATCATTATACATTCATGATCATAGGACATACTGCAAGGTATCGAAGGAACTATAAATGCCTGTATTCTAAAAGCTCACTCACACAGTCACACTCAAAGAGTGGAGGTTCAATCTGAGCTTCCCTTGAGTGTCATTGTGTCAATGCTGTTTTTGAATAGCTGGAGGGTGAGTAGTCACATGATAGTAAGGTACGATACTAACTCTCCAGCTATTCAAAAACAGCATTGACACTCAAGGGAAGCTCAGATTGAACCTCCACTCATTGAGTGTGAGTGAGCTTTTAGAATACAGGGGTAAGACTGAGTTCCAAAATATTTCTTACTCGAATCGACTTGACCTCGTAGCTCAGTTGAAGAGAAAGGGACTTGCAAACCGAAGGTCGTGGGTTCGATTCCCACCGCGGTCAAGCAAAACTTTCAGTTTTCCCAGTGTGGATCATCTCAAAACAACTCTCAACTATATTTGTCTTCAAACTATCCAGGGCGTGAAAGGAACACGCGAGATGAGAGAACACATGAGAAGCAAGTCACCGCAACACATAACACTGTTGCACCAGGTTGTTAAACTTCAAGATATCAAGATCAAACAACAACATGAAACAATCGCGAAACACGAGCGTTATGTCAAACACGTCAGCCAGGTTATCAAAGAATACAAAGAACAATTTGACGAACAAAGAAAACAGGTGAACAGCCAGAAAACGATGTTGAAAGACATTCAACATGATCTCACTAAACTACGCGTAACTTCACGTAAACAAAACAAAAATCTCTCCGAAACAATCGAAGAACTGAGTGAAAAATTTGATCAATTCTTGTTGGACTACTCCATTTCCAAAGCTGACGCTGACCTCAAAGTTAGCGCACGCTATGGTGAACATTTATGGATCATAAGGAACTACTCGCGACGTCTAAGACGTATTAAGCTAGGCAAGTCAGATGATCCAATCAGAAGTGATCCATTCTATACTGCCTCGCCCGGCTATAGATTATGTATATGGGTCTATTTGAACGGCCGGGGAAAGAGCCTCGGAAGTGCAATATCTGTATACGGGAAAGTGATGGCCGGAGATTTTGACCCCATCATGTCATGGCCCATAAGGCCACAGTTCACATTTACACTTTATGAACAAAATCGCGCCGCGTCGGACCGAAAGGACATCGTAAGACGTCGCAGAGTTCACGAAATCAAACGAGATCATGACGAGAAGAACAGTATTACCCGAGTCAATGGCGGCATTCCCCGACCACTCGGCGATGATAGATCGATTATTGTCGGATTTGATAACTTTGTCACACACGAGGAACTGCATACGTGTGGATTTTTGAAAAGTGATAACATTTTCCTGAAAGTTGAAGTTGAAATTAATGTTTAAAGATTTTGTATCTGATTATCTGAATAAATTGGTCTTTGTAATCAAAACTTTGACTTATAGAGTTTTCTGGTATGTTTCTGGTAAAGATCTCCAAACAATAACCTATAGCTAATGGTATTATTGTCTCGTGTTTATTAAAAAGGTTGTCACAATGGTTATACACTGGAAAAAATAGTGAAATCCATACTATGGAATTTGCAATAGACCTTTCCCCTTATGAGTGAAATTTTGATCTACCGTAGATATGCCTGGACAAAAATTTCATCACAGCTTGAAAGAGCATCACAAAATTAGTAATATTCCGAAGTTTCGTTGCGAAATGTTGTAAAATGCGGATCGGATAATATAGCCTTGCGAAGTTTGCCGTTTTTCAGTCATTTGGTATTACAAACGGGAAATTGATAATCAGATGATCAAACTGATGCAAAATGTTAGATTGTAATACAAAATGACTGAAAACGGCAAACTTCGCAAGGCTATATTATCCGCATTTTACAACATTTCGCAACGAAACTTCGGAATATTACTAATTTTGTGATGCTCTTTCAAGCTGTGATGACATTTTTGTCCAGGCATATCTAGATCAAAATTTCACTCATAAGG